CACACACACAAATGCGCGCGCAGTTTCACATCGGCGACCACGTGCCTTGCGTCGCGGCCGTCACAGTGGGCGCGTGCAAGCAGCAAGCGAGAAAACGAGAGGGACTAGGAGAAAAGGCACACACCCACTCACGCACGCACGCACGCACACACACACACACACACCACGCTCTTCCAGCAGCTCTTCATCGCTGCTGGTGTCTCCGATGTAATCTTTATGTGGCAAACGCCCTGCGCAATGCAACTTCTGGAGATCCTCTGAAACACTCTCAAGCAAGGTCGGACGATGCAGAAGAATCGATACCGTCTCGGTCTTCAGTCTTTCGTCCACCACGCTGTGTCTTAACTGCCTTGGATGTTGCACGCTCAAAAGAGTCGACCCCTTGGCCCAAGTGAGCACGAATGGCGTAATTCCGAAGTGCAGTAATGCCATCATTAGGTGCGTCGTGCGTAACCGTCAACGCAAGGTGCAACATTGTATGCAAACGTTAAGCTCCTCCAGCTGCTGCGCATTGCGAGCGCAAGAAGCATCGGCGACTTGACGATTCGGGGACGTAGAAGAAAGTGCTGTGTCTCGGGCGCAAACGAGGCGATCTGAACATGCTGAGACCTCTCTTCGCGGCTCTGAGCCAACATGGCTCCGGACTCCGCCTCTCCTCCTCCTGTTCCTGGTCCTCCTCCTCCTCCTCCTACCGCCTCCTCCTACCGCCTCCGCCTCCGCCTCCGCCTCCTCCGCCTCCTCCGCCTCCTCCGCCTCCTCCGCCTCCTCCTCCTCCTCCTCCTCCTCCTCCTCCTCCTCCTCCTCCTCCTCTTCCTCCGTCCCCTGCTCCTCCTGCTCCTCCTCCTCTCTACCCTGGCCCCTCCCCTCTCCCCGCCCGCCCCCCGCCCTGCATCCCAACGCCCTCCCTCCCCCCTCCTCCCGCCCGAGGGCGCAGGGGGCCGGCGCGGCTCCCGAGGCGGCCGCTCGCCCGAGCGGTCCACTGCAGGCCAGGCGCCGGGGGGGCGGGCGCCACCGCCGCGGCAGAAAAACTTCCTACAGGCTGGCGGGGGGCGCGCGGGCACGGGTCACGGCACCGGCCTCGCAGACCGTGCTGCGGCGGACCTCTTCGTGGGTGTTTGCCCGAAGCGGCGAGCGCGAAAAACGGAGCGACCGTCGCGTGGATTCTTTTTGGCCCTCATTAATGGCCAACAGAATCCGCACGAAAGTCGCCTCGAAATCCGGAACGAAATTCTCCAGGACACTCTGGGCCCACCCGATCTTTTTCTCAACGAAACCCGCTCTGCGATGTTGGCGCGATGACACGGGTGAGAGGGAGCCAGGAGCAGGACAATATCGGACGGGGACACATCGGGGATCCCTGATATCCAGCGGTTCTAGAGGATGTACTAGGCGCCGCGGCCGTTCCAGAGCGCCCAAGAAGGCTCTGAGAGCGTCCAGAACGCTCTGGAATGATGCATCCTGGTGCTAGCCCCGCCCGAACGGATGCCGTCGTCACCCCAGACCCCCATCGCGTCGTGAAGCACACGAGGCAGGTGCTTGATTCATAATTCCAGGAGCAGCTTGTCCGCAAGGGTCCTGTGTATATGTTCTTAGGCAGGGTGCGAGCTCCTCCACATCCTCGCCAGCATGGTCTACACGACGGCCTCCCATATGATCTCTAGTATGACCTCCCGTACGGTCTCCCACATGGTATCCCGTATGGTCTCCCATATGCTCCACTTTGTATAGTACTCTCGAGATGGTACATACCTGCTTAGGGTATTGTGCCGCCAATGGTGCACTTTATGTTTGGCTCCTGGGGCCCTTACTGGGCCCCAGGACCGTGCAAAGACGGATCAGGATGCAAAGCTGGTCCCAGGGAAAAGGTCGAGACTTCGTCCACGTTGTGAACAAATCACGTCCTGGGGTTTGGGACCAACGCCACGTTTGTGATCGTCATCGCACGTCAACTTCATCGGCGCTCCTGCTGTAGAACTCGCTGTTGTCGTTGTCGTTCAAGTCGACCGCTGCTGACGTCGTCACTGTCGCTGCTCAATCGTGCTCAAACCCTTCGTTTCAAAATTCCATATGGTACTGGACCAGGGGATCGCCCCGTGGGAAGCGCCTGGCAAATCCTGGGAAACCTTGGCCAATCCCTTCAATTGGGTCACGTCCCCGGAACAATGTGCATCCAAACGGCTAAGTAACTCGACCGCAGGCCGAAAGGGCCTGGGCCGACCTCCGCAGACGCCATCACGCAAGACACCATTTGGGTAGCTTTTGGGAGCACGCCGAGAACTCTCAGATCACGCCCTGGTTCCGTTCAGAGCCTCTCAGCCGCACCTCTGTAGCAACCAAGGCCACCGAGGGCCCACCTTGCAGTAGCGGCACCCTTCAGCCATCCGCAAGCCTGCGAGGCCAGGGCTGACGCCCTGGAGCCCACCAGCAACTCTGGAGGCCGCGTGCCTGAGCCACGTCAGGAGACGTCTTGGACGAACGCAGCAAGCAGGCGGCAGACACGAGCCAGGCCCAGTGCAATCGCCGTGGCCGTCGCCATCGTCGCAGCCGTCGTCGTCGTCGTCGTCGCCGTTTTCGCCGTCGTCGTCGTCGTCGTCGTGGTCGTCGTCGTCGTCGCGGTCGTCGTCGTCGTGGTCGTCCTCGGCGTCTTCGTCGTCGTCGTGAGCGTGGTCGTCAGCATCAGCGTCGGCGTCAGCGTCATCGTCAGCGGCAACGTCGTCGTTATCGCCATCACCGCTGCCACCACCACCGCCACCGCCTCCGCCGCCGCCGCTGTCGTCGTCGTCGTCGCCGTCGCCGTCGCCGTCGCCGTCGCCGTCGCCGTCGTCGTCGTCGACATCGAAGTCGTCAGCGTCGTCGTCGTCGCCACCACCACCGCCGCCGTCGTCAGCGTCGTCGTCTTCGCCGTCATCGTCGCGGCCGCTGCCTTCGCCGCCGTTGTCATCGCCGTCGTCGGCGTCGTCGTCGTCGCTGTCAGCCACCACCGTCGTCGTCGTCGTCATCGTCGTCAGCGACGTCGTCTTCATCAGCGTCAGCGTCACCGCAAGCGTCAGCGTTAGCATCAGCGTCAGCGTCAGCGTCGGCGTCGTTGTCGTCTTCGTCGTCGTCGTCGCCGCCGCCTCCGTCGCCGCCGCCGCCGCCGCCGTCGTCGTCGTCGTCGTCGTCGTCGTCGTCGTCGTCGTCGTCGTCGTCGTCGTCGTCGTCAGCGTCGTCAGCGTCGTCGCCAGAGTCAGCGCCAGCGTCGGCGTCAGCGTCGACGTCAGCGTCGTCATCGTCATCATCGTCGTCGACGCCGTCGTCGTCGCTTCCGCCGCCGCCGTCGCCGTCGTCGTCGTCCGCGACGTCGCCATCAGCGCCGTCGTCGTCGTCGTCATCGCCGTCGTCGGCGTTTGCATCGTCGTCGTCTTCGTCGTCTTCGTCGTCGTCGCTGCCGTCGTCGCGGGCGCCGCGGCGAGGGCGCGGGCGGGGCGGCCCACCCCGCCGAACGCGCCGCAGCCCCAGGCGCCCAAGATCAGCGTTGTGACCTTGTCGCGGGGGGCGCCCTCTTCCAGACGGCGCCGTGCCGCACTTCCTCTGCCTCGGGGTCCTCCCCCCGCTTCCCCCCGCCCCCGCAAGCGCCCCACCGTCACGTCCTTCCTCGCCCCCTCCGCTCCCCAACCCTCCCCGCCATCCGCCCTGCCCGCTCTCTGCCGTTCCCGCCGGCTTCCGCCCGTGCTGCAAGTTCCCCCTCCCTCCCTGCACTTTCCCCCTCCCCATCCGAACCTCCTGCGCGGCCCGCTGTCGTCGCCGGTCGCGGGCGGTGGGGGCGTGACCCCTGGATCCATCAACTTCGGTGCGATGAAGATGCTCTTCACAGTGTTGTACCTACCAGCAAAGACTTCAAAGGGGACCAACAACACGGGGGGACAACTGCTGGTATGCGCGCTAGGGCGCGCCTTGGCATTGGGCATGTGAACTAGAAACCCCGGGATAACAGCGGTGCAGCGCGAACGCAATGCCAGACTTGACGGGGAACGTGAATGTCATACTGCGTCCAGTGCTTTCCAGCGGTCCCCTGGCCCCAGCACGCGGGGAGGAGGAAGACGACGGAGGAAGAGCAGGAGGAGGAGTGAGCCACATAGGACGGAGCCCCAATCGAGGCCGCTTCCCCTTGCCTCGTAGACTCTTCCAGTTACTGCGAGTATCCTCCACAACCGAGTACCGAACAAAAAGGAGGAGGGGAGGAGGAGGGGAAAAGGGAAAGGAGGGTAAGGGGGGGGATGCGGAGGAGGATGGAGCGAAGGAGTGGGATTATGGGGGGCGAGGAAGAAGGGGGATGGGGAGGAATAGGATGGGGAAGAGGGGGTTGGGGGGATGAGGATGGGGACGAAGAGGACAATGATGCGGATGAAAACGACGTGGACAATGGTGATGGTGAGGAGGAGGATGGTGATGATGGCGATGGTGAATGTGCTGACGGTGCTCAGAGTGATGATGAAAATGACGACGACGACGACGATTAAAATGATGATGGGGGGAGGAACGATGGCCCACCAATTGCGCACCAGCCCCTCAGCTGGGGGGCGGCACGCGTCGTCGGCCCCCGCGCGGGTTCCGGGCGTGGGCGCTCGCGCGGCGCGCTCCGGCGTGGAAGACGCCTCGACTCTATGTTAGCCAGCGTGGGCCCTAATCCGTGTGCTCTAGCCGTCTGCGTGGTGCTATCTGTGCGGCTGGGGATCATTCCGTTTGACGATGAGTGCATTATGCCGAGTAGGCCTCTTAGGATTCACGACGAAGTCGGTTAGCACAGCTGGACAGCTTCACCCAAATGCACTTGGGAGTTGAAAAAACAAGTTTCTGAAACAATTGAAGCAAGATCTGTACATAAGCTAGGTGATGTGGGGGATGGACAGCGGGTGGAGGACGAGCTTGCGCAACAACGTTTGCGGGAGGGCAAAAATCGCAGACAATGCGATCATTCTCGTGCACGCGCATGCATGATCTCTCTTTTTTTGCAGCTGGGCATGGAATCTTTTTGCTTGACGAAGAACGCAATATGCCGAAACGGCCCGGTATGATTCACGACGAAATTGTTTAGCACAGCTGGCCAGCTCTACGTAAACCCGAATTATGTACACTGCGAAAGCGACCACAACGGAATTGGTTTCCGAAGGAGGACGCCAGAAAGTGGGCACATGTTTCAGTGTGGGCCCGGGTAAACAGCGTATTCCAGAGACCGTTGGGGACTTTCCCAGACAGGCCCACGCGTGCTTTGCCATTCCTGCTGCAGACGACCCCCCCTCTAGGATGACAGCGGGAGGCCCCTTGGGCGACCGTGCTCTGATCGAAGAAATCGAACAAAATCAGACTAGGTTTTTCCCATATGTCTCCCCACTGGCAAAAGACAACAACTATAACGCTGCTCTCAATTCGAGACAACAAATCTGCGATCCCGGGTACATTCACCAACATGCTCGTTTGAGAGATCTCGAGACTAACGGGGCTCTTGCGAGAGAAACGCAGACGGATCACCTTCGGCGTGGCCCCGAGTACCGAGCTGGCCGTCAGTAGATGGGGGTGGTCCTTAGCATCGGGTAGGCCCCAAAAGTGCAGACTACAGCGTAGCGGAACTTGCCCAATGCCGCCAAAATGTGGTCTACGGCGGCGCCAGCATGACGCAATCTGAACTGCCCTGGCGGAATTGGCAAAACAAAAATGACAACATTTTAACGTCTGAGATATCAACATGGGCCCCGTTCTTGATGTCAAAGGGGACTAAAGTGTGGCCGAGACTCTCGAAGGACACTGCGACGAGCCCAACTCCAGCGAACAGATCGAGCATCACCAAGGGCTGGGCACGTGGCCGGCCAAGATCCCCTCGAGGTCGGTCTAGCACCGCTGCATCTTCTCTCGGACTGTCGGGCTTAGCTTCAGAAGCCCCTTTGTCACCGGTCCCGCCTTTCTCGTAGCGGGGCGCGCTGCGGTGGGCCTTCCCGCCCTCTCCTCTGCACTTCGGGGAGGAGCCGACGTCCGACGGCGCCGTCCAGCGAGGCCCCGACGCGCCTCGTAGAGTACGGGTAGAGGTCATCCACCCCCAGCGCGGAGGCGGCCATGCGGATCGGCGTGGCGAGGTCCGCGCACTCGAAGTCCCGCGCCTTGTCGTCCCTGGCCACCTCCACTCGACGAAGTTCTTGGTCATCCGCTGCAGCTCGTCGACGCCCCGTGCCACCGAGTCGTCGAAGTCCCGCGTCTTCGCGGGCATGCCAAACTCCCGAGGCCGTGCAAGGACTGACCGCTGCGGAGAGCTCCTGCCTGCCAGGGGGAAGTAGTCGCTTCCCCTCGACTCCGAGCTCTCGCCTGGCCTCAGGCACAGGCGCGCGCGCACGATGCACCACGGGCCCATGATCTTCAGGCCCCGCTGCAACATCCGCACAGCGAGCCCGCACGTCACCGCCCCAGCGCGGGGTGGCCTCGAGCGCCCTGGTCACATCCTCCGCCGTGCCACCAAGGCCCGGCGGGCCCGCGCCAACTGTCAGCTGCCGCATCGGCCCAGCCTCGGGTGGAACGCATCGAGCACCGCGATCAGGTGGATGCCCGCGTGACTGTTCGCGCCCTCCAGGAAGCGCCCCTCCAAGTGCGCCATCACGGGGGAGTCGAGGTCCTTGTCGTCCGGCATGGTCCAGCCCCCCAGGCCCCCGAAGTCCTTGAACCGCCTGATGTGGTCCGCGCGCTGCTTGTAGGTCTGCTCCGTCGCGGCCCCCTGCACAAGGAAGCTGTCGTCGCACTCGAGGCCCTCGGCGTAGCACGTCTGCCGGCGGCCCAGCTCGCCCACGCGCTTACGCCGCGCCGCAGGCGGCGGGGCTGGCCGCGGCGTCGCCGTCGGCTGGCCAGTGAGGCGCCTCGAAGCCGGGCGGGGGCCTCACGGCTTCGCGTTCGGGCGGGCCTCCCAGGGCGCCTCCGGCGGCCTCGGGTGTCGCGCGCGAGGGGCTGGACCTGGGTGCAGATCCACCAGCGTCAGGGCGTCCTCGGTCAACATTCTCGTCTCTGGTCTGACGGGCTGCCTCGAAGACGCGACTGGCGGCATCGGCCAGTATCAGCTCCGACGGGATCCAGGGATCGACCAACAGCCACCACCCGTCGGCTCAATTGCAGCGCGAATCGGCGCCGACACAGAGTGAGGAGCTGCCAATTGGTCGCCCGCCCCTCTGAGTGAGCCAGCATGGTGCTAAGGTTGTCGCCCAGCTGGAGGTATCTAGTAACTCTCCCATCCCATGACTTACAGAACCGTCTGGGGACCCACAGGGAAGCTCGGTATTCCTTTATGTGACAGCTTCCAACCTCCGAAGCCGCCCGCTGTAGACCTGCTCACAATCGGAGTCCTGGATCCAAAGTCATGGTACGTCCTGGGAACTCTGATCTTGCTCCCAAAGCTCGTATCCCGAGGTGACAGCGCCAATCGCCGCGACGAGGTATGGAACTGCGCTCCCGAGGCCACGATCTCTTGTAAAAGACGATGCGTTCGCGTCCCGAGCTTCAAGACCACCCAGGCAGACAACCAAGATGGCCCAAGATGGCTCGAAGACGGCCCAAGATGGCCCCAAGGCGGCCCAATGTGGCCTCAAGGCGGCCAAATATGCCTCCAAGAGAGACCAAAATGACCACAAGAGTCACTGAATTCCCCTGTTGAAGGATGCTTGCATTCTCACCTTATCTAGCCTTCGTCAACTCAAGACGGCCACAGAAGCCTCCAAGACGGCCCCGTGAACGCAGGGCAGCCCTCTCGCCCAGGCCGCTAAGCGCAAAGCGAGATCATCCTCGCGACCATGTTCTCGTTGGACGAAGGGAGGGAGGCCGTGAGGGGGGGACGGCGAATCAGCTCGCGCAGCCGATCTCCCCGGCACCTCCCTGCGCCCGAGGTGCGAGGGCATCCAGCAGAGCGCTCGGGCGGCGGGGTCGACACCAGCTGCACACCGCAGATCTCGTAACGCACCCCCTTTCTTCCTCCTTCCCCCCCCCCGTCGGCCGACCCGATGTGTGGGTGGCCGTGGGGACCAGTGCCGGATGGTAAGGCTTCGGGTGGCGCACAGACGGCCGCTCGAGCATTACTGGCTGGCCTCAGCTGGCCCCCCGAATGCGAGGGCTCCCAACTTCGCGCGTCGCGCTGCGCGAAGTGCGAATGACTGGAGAAGAGGAGGATGAAGAGGAATCGGAGCCGAGCTACGAAGCGCGAAGCGCAAAGCGCGAAGCGCGAAGCGCGAATAACTTCGCGCCCTCGGGGGCGCCCTTGTAACAGCCCGTGGCGGTCTCAGCACCCCAACCCTGCTGCGCAAGCGCCGCCGAAGGTGGCGCTGGGGGGTGTTGAGACCGCCCTGGCCTACTTGAGGGGCCTGCTGACGCCAGCCATGGCTAGTCGGGGGCTGTCTGTGCACAACCCGAAGCCTTACCATTCCTCTGTCCATGTTTCAATCGTCCGAGGGGCTTTCGGACCATACCTCGGGCCTCCGGCGGCCGTTCGGGATGATCCTGGCCGCCGGAACTCGGGAGCGGCCAAGAGGGGGGTGTCCAAGAGGGGGGGTGCAAATCATGACCGGCGGCATTTGCGCGGCCCAGCGGGGGGGCCAGGCACGTAATGGAATAAGAAGAGGCGCCATGAAGTCTGTGGACACATCATGGCCCCTGTCATGATATCCACCCCCCCCTAGTCATCCCCCCCCTCTTTTCCGCCCCCGAGGAACGCTCTCGGCGAGGCGCAGCCGCGGGAGAGCATCTCGAGGATGGGAAGCTGAGGGGGGACCATGGAGAACGCCCGAACACCTCGAGCCTTGACACTGGGTACTCCCCCCCTGTCGTCCGACCCGACATGTGGGTGATCCACACGTGCCCATCGGTCGAAAGGAGTGGCTAAAACCATGCAGTAGGACGGCGGATAGAGCAGATTGGGTTCGGGCCCGCCCAGGAGGGTAACAAGACGCCGCAAAAGCGCATCGATTCGTGAAGAGGGAACTGCGCCTAGAGCAGACTGGGTTCCGGAAGTCCAAGATACCCACCTTCAACGGCCAGTGTGTAAGGGTCCGTGCCAGGCACCCCGCCCTGCCGCCCGCCGCTCCGGCCCGCGGGGCGGCCGCGGCGCACACCAGCCCCTCGTCGCTGCGCTCCGGGGGGCTGGCGAAGCGCAGGTTCGGGGCCGCGGCAGAGACGACGGAGACCCTCACCTGGGAGGACTACGAAGCAAGCTGCAGGAGAGCCCAGAATCGGATCTAAGTCGGATCGGCGATCGAAACGAATCGGATCGGCGGAAATCCGCATCCGAATCCGGAAAAGCCGAATCAGCGGAAACCGGCAGGCCCGTATGCCTCCAACAAGAAATCGGGACCCGTATCGGAATCCCCAGTCGAATCGAATTGGGATCGGATGCCATCGAAATCGAATCGAATCGAATCGGAGAAATCGAAATGAGTTTTTGTTGGCCACCCTGGGGGTGCAGAGGTGTTGTTATGATGCTACGCGTAACTTGTAGTATTCGTGTGAGGCGCCTCTACCGACGCCCATGGCCAGTGAGGTATAGCAATCACCACGGGTCACTTTGGACGGAGTCACGCGCAAGCACATTCAGTCAGAATGTCTTGACGAATCGTGCAAAAGACGCGCAGCGTCAGTCAGATGAACCATTCGGATTGCACGAATAGCAGAGGACGTTGCTGCGTCGGTGCTCGTGTGCTGGGTGTTCGTAGCAGCCGAAGGTGCTGTGTCGGTGTTCGGAAAACCCCGCGTAGTACCCATAGTTTCCACACAGGATCAATGAAAAAGTCGGCGATGGAGGAGGAAGGAGCAGAGGAGGACGACAGCGACGACGGCGACCCGGGGGAGAGAGAAGGATGACTCCAGGCCAAGCTTTCTCGATCGCAAGCGGCGTCCCGGATCGGCTCGCGAGACCGAGGGGCCCTCCCGAAGAGGCGGCGAGGACGTCCCCGACACGGACAGCCTTCTCGCCCCAGAGTTTCAGTCCCGGCAGGCACAGAGGAAAGCTAACATGTCGAAGTGTCGCTGGCCAGTTGGGCCGATTGCGAACCGCATTTGAACGATTGCAGGACAAACCGACCCACGCGGCTCGGACAGAGCCATCGCGGATTTGACCACGAATGAAGCTCTGATGGATCTCTGGACAAGATCGCGCCGGGGCCCGTGCCTCGAGTCGATCTCAAAGATGGGAATGCCGCGGAACCTCGGGGCCCGACGCCAAGCCGCGCTCAGGCGGCCAGCGCCAGCGAACAGCTCCAGGGCAAACCCCCGCCGAGCAAAGCTGCCCCGCCTGCAGCGGCGCACCAGCTCGGCAGGAGCCACGCAGAAGTCGTCCGCTCGGCGGCGGCGGCCGCCCTGGCCACGCTGGCGGGCAGCGACCGCAGCGCCTGGTTCACGCGGCCGCCCTTCTTGTGCCGTGTCACGGACCGTTCGGTGAGCGACCGCCCTCGGTCCTGGATGGCCCTGAGGTCGCGGGCGCCCGTCATCGCGCCGTGGGACGCTCCGCCGTGCCTCAGCATGTGCAGCACGGGCGTCGCCTCGCCGACGAAGCCCACGGCCGTGGCCGCCGCCTCGAACGCTGCGGCCCCCTCGCGGTAGGTGAAAGGGAACAACTGGGCGGCGCTGCCGCCCCCTCGGAGCCGCGCCGCCGGCCTCTCCACGAACTTGAAGGACTCTACGTCGTCGACCAGGACGGTCTCGTCCCGGGCGCCCGTCCTGGACGTCGCCGCCAGCTCCTGGGGGCGAAGGGCGATGCCCCACTTCCCCCTCAGCCTGCGCGCCAAATCCGCGGGCGGCACCAGGTCGCACTCGAGGGTCCTCAGGAGCTCGCACGGCCTCAAGTGGTGGATGAAGGCGAAGAGAACGGCCGCGCCGAGGTGCCAGCCCCCCTGGTCCACCAGCTGCTTGGCAGCCCGGCGCGCCGCGGCCAAGCGAGCCTCCGCGGCCCGCGGCCCGAGAAAGGATTACGGTCATCGCATCCCCGAGGAGCAGGTGACGCTGTCCATGGCATGCGGACGTCCTGGCCAGGTGATTCAGCGTCCAGGTAGCAGCCCGACACCCCAAGTGGACCTGGTGGCCCCCAGACGCCCACCTAAACGAGGCCACCCGACACCACTTTCCTCCCCAGACTCGTTCAGGAACAGGCGGCACACGATCGACACCCTCGACTCCGTCACCCCGAAAAAGTCTCCCCGAGGATCGTGAAAGTGATCGTGTTCTTCTCGTCTTGAAAACCGCCATCGGTCACTGTAACACCCCATGGTCTTCGCGTCCGTGTCGCCAACGCACTTGCCCATCACCCCGCACCTCCCAGACGACGCGTCGAACGCGCGCACTTCAGGGCTCTAAGAGGCGTCGAGCTCCCGAGAGGCCACGAAGGCTAAGGGGGCAATCCGCTTGAGCTCGCGAACCACCGAAGGCCACAGGGTCCCTCTTCCTTTTTGGAACTGCTGAGCCAAGGCGAAGCATGCCTGAGGCGCGGCCAGCACCTCGCGGCGGATGAGACCCCGCGTCCTGAAGCGGCCGAGGAGCGCTGAGATCTCGCGCCCGCTGGCCCGCCCGAGCTGCGCCACGCGCAGGGCTGCGAGCCGCGACCGCCAGGCACTAAGCAGCGACGTCAAGCAGCGCCCGTCCTCGGCAAGGTGCAAGCCGGGCGCGTCGCCACCCGCGCTGAGCTCGATGTCGCGCATCGGCAGACCTGCCGTCTCCCGGCAGCCTCGGGCGCGGATCGCCGCGTCCCTCGCCGCGGCGGGATCCCGCCCGAAGCACGCGAATTTGTCGACGTACTCGGCGCGCGCTATGGGCGTCAGCCCGGGCGGGGGCCTGCCGTCGACCAGCGCGTTGGCCTCCGTCACGTCGGGCCCTCGCCGCGCCAGCTCCTCGCGCAGCGCCTGGCAGGCCTGCGGAGCCAAAGCCCAGCCCGTCGGCAAAGCCGCGATGGCGGGGCGGATGCAATCGCTAAGCTTGACGGGCTGGCCCTCCACCCCCGACGCGCCCAACTCCCAGGCGCGGACCCTGTCGAAGCCGAAGGCCGCGCAGCTCGGGAGGCATGGGGATCGCGTGGGAGGCCGCACAGATGTCGGCGCCGCCCAGCACCGGCGGGGGCCCCGCGCCCAGCTGCAGGTTGGCGCAGCAAGCTCCGCTCGCGAGCTGCGCGGGGTCGGGATCCTCGAAAAAGCAATTCGGGATGCGAGCATCGATGACGAGCCGCTGTGCACCCGACTTCTTCCAGACACTGAAGCACCCTAATCGACGTCGTATTTTGCGCCGAAAGTCGAGGAGTTTGACGGCGCGGAGCCGCCTCAAGAACTCGATGTACACCTCGTGGCTCCTCAGAGCGGGGTCGGTGCAAGCCCGACGCAAGCCCGGGCGCTTCAACTACGCCCCCCCCCCCCCCCCACACACACACAACACACACACACACACACGCACACACACACACACACACACACACACACACACACACACACACACACACACACACACACACGCACGCACGCACGCACGCACGCACGCACGCACGCACGCACGCACGCACGCACGCACGCACAGGCACACACACACACACACACACAAACACACGCACACACACACACACACACACACACACACACAAACACACACACACGCGCACACACACACACCACAAGGAAGCACCTTTGTCTAAGAGCCTCTTCTCGATCAACTCGCTCGCGGAACCCGCGGAACCCCGCAGCGACGCAGGTCGAAAACCAGGTGGAGGCAGGTCCAGGAGGCCCACGCGAAGAGGAGCCAGCCGGGAGGATGAACCGTCGTAGGCCGGAATGGACCGAAGCCCGTCGAAGCCCCCTGGTCCGTCGAGGTCGTCGGGGGGCGGCCCTGCGCCTGCAACGAGCTGGCGCAGGTGGCCCAGGGCAAGACTTCGCGCCATCGTCGGCCTCGAGGCGTCGCGGGGAGGCCCGCGACGCGGCGCCCCGTGCATGTCGTTGAGGGTGCCGATGAGCTCGTCCGTCGCAGCGTCGATGGCGGACTGCTGGCGAGCTCTCCTCCGGGTGGAACGGCAAGCAAAGCGGGGGGGCCCGCCGCGAGATCGGGCGCCCCGAAGAAGGGGCAAAGGAAAAATATCTCGCTGGCGAAGGTGAGGAACTCCAGCGCCGCGAGCGAATTCAGCCCTAATGCCCGTCGAGCCTGGGCTTGAAGCCCGACGGGGGTCCGTCATGCGCCATTGCCAAGGGCGCGGCGTTCCTCCCGCGCCTTTCGCACTTGCTTCAAGACACTAGCATCTCGTTCAACTTCACGAGCGACGAAATCCAAGATATCTGGCGAGACCATCGTCTCGCCCGCCTCGCGATGGCGGCCCATGAACACGTCGCTCCACCCCAGCAGGCCGGCGCGCCCGCGGCCCATGCCACGGTTCTTCTTGTCCTTCGCCTCCTTGTCGTCGCCCCCCGAGGCGCCTCCCCCCATCGGCTCGCGGAAGTAGGCGCACTCCGCGAGCTGACACTCACGAGCAATGATCTCCCGACAAGCGCAGCTCGCAATCTCCAGGGCGTCGTAGCTCGCCGCCATCTCCAGCGCGCGAAGCCCGTTCTCGTGCACCTCGACGCCCCAGTCGCCTCGCTGGAGCCAGTTCACCTGTCACCACCACGCACGATGATCTCCAGGTCCGCCGCCACGCCTGTCGAGGAACCTCATCACCCACTCCACGGTGCGAGGCCCCTGCACGAGCCAGTCGTGGAACGGGGTGACCATCCCGAGCTCGACGACCTGCCTCCAAGGTCTCCGCTGTCTGCGATCCCCCACCAGCTCGATCGGCACGATGCGAGCGCGTCGGCCACCGACTCCACGCGCACGAAGGAGTCCACGCCCTTGTACGGCATGCAGCGGACCGAGGTGACCGCAGGGCCTCGAGGTCCAGGGGCAGCGCCAAGCAACTGGAAGAGGCCCACGTCTCCGAGCGTGGGCATCCTCGCACCAGGGAACACCACCATGCCCCTTCTGCGGCCCGTACAGCATCTCCGTGACGACCCACACCAGCTCGTCGCCGTGAGGCAGCACTGGTGGGGGTCCCCCCGCGGCGGCAGCAGCGCCAGCGCCCACGCCAGCGGCCCCGGCTACGCGCCCCGTTCCGCCGACGGCGTCGCCCCCGCCGATCGGCCGAGGCACACCTTCACCCTGACCAGGGAAGCGAGGCGCGGCCAGCGGCGCGCGAGCGGGGTCGGCGGCCAGCGGCAGCAGGGCGCCTCCAGCAGGCTCCACCCCAGGGCCCCCATTGCGGCGATCCCTCGCCACGAACTCGTCGCGGGCCACCAACCGCCTCCTGGCGGGCCTCGCTGGAGGCCTCAGGAGGGAGGACGGGCCCCGGCGGACAGACCACCGCGGGGCAGGGCGGCGCCGGCGCCGCTGGGCAGTGCAGCGAGAAGCAGGCGGCCGCCTTTTCGCAGCGCAAATCGGGACAGGCAGGGACCTCCGCGCAGCGCAGGTCGGGACACCGCGGACAGGCTGCCACCTCCGCACGCCAGGCCCGATCCACACTCGAGTGGGTCACCCAAGATGCCTGCCAGGCTATTGCGGCCGTGACACTGGGACTCGGGCGCATGACGAGCTTGAGCCAGGATGGGAACGGACGGCCCATACCTGCTCTGCAGAGAAACCCAGGAGGAGGAGGAGGAGGAGGAGGAGGAGGAGGAGGAGGAGGAGGAGGAGGAGGAGGAGGAGGAGGAGGAGGAGAGAGAGAGACTAGCAGCGAGGAGGAGGAAGACGACCGAGGAAGTGAGGCGAAGCAATGTGAAGAGGAGTGACGTGACATAAATGGAGTGGAATGAAGCGTACTTGGAATACGTCCTCAGTGCATGGGCCAACGCACAGCTGCAGCAATGGCCTTTACAGTGACGGATTGCTGTCGACTGGAAGAGCAAGAGGAGCAGGACGAGGAATACGACGGAGACAATCACCAGGGAGGAGGAGGAGGAGGATCAGGAGCAGGGGGAGGAGCAGGAGCAGGAGGAGAGACGAGTAACGAGTAGAGAAAAAAAAAAATCTGAGACACCGTGGACGCCTCGCGGCGATGCATCGCCCGCCCCCCCCCCCCCCCCCACTGGCATGGACTAGCGCCGCCGCCGGGGCGGGCCCCATGCGAGGGGCTCGGGTGTGTGCTCCATGGCCTCCGAGGGCCTGCAGCGCGTGGCCAACTGAGATCAGCACTGAAGCACTGCAGCAACAACAACAACAACAACAAACAACAACAACAACAACAACGACAGCAACAACAACAACAACAATTACTAGCACGTGGGGACACACCGTTCTCACCAGTGCCAGGGTTTTCATAGGAGGCGGGCAATACCCCCACTTTGTGGGGGGGCCGGTTCAAGCTCTACCAAATTTCCAAACGACTCTTCGCCACCACCCACACCCAGCTTCCCGCCCTATGACGTTCGGACACTTCACTTCGTGGCATGCGGACGACCGTGGCTACTATTCAGGGCCCCGCGGCCGACGACGACGGCGTGCGCGCGCGAAGAAAAAACGAATGTGTCCCGCATGGTATTATTTGACAGGGATGATGGCCCTGGCAGGTGCGCAACCGTTGTTGCAGAAGTTCGAAAAAGTTGCTCGCAAAAGCCCGTTTGACAGAAATGTTTAAAAAGTGTTGGGTTTCCTACGAATCCGCAAGAGCGCGCGGGATGAAATTTTGACATTTTTTTTTTGAAAAACCATTGGTTTTTTGATGTTTTTATGTTAAAATCGCTACGAAAACTAAGGTTTTGGAAGGATTTCGTCTTGCGCGCGCGAATGTCCACTTTACCTTATTTTTTGCAAGGGATTCTTGAAGTTTGGTTATGTTAGAACAAGAAATGTCCACTTTAGCTTATTTTTTGCAAGGGAAAACCGATCGTAACAACACAACCGGATCCGGACCAACCCGTTTTGCCTGAGACTTCCTCACGAAAATGATGAAAATGAGGCTGCGGCCTAGGCGCGGCGGGGGGGTCGTGCACCAGGGGTCCCAACAATAATTATTCTTTAGAAGTAATAATGTTCAACAACAACAACAACAACAACAACAACAACAACAACAACAACAACAACAACAACAACAACAACAGCAGCAGCAGCAGCAACAACAACAACAACAACACTGCAGCGCTGTAGAACCGGAGCATTGCAGCACGATCGACTCGCAGCGACGCAGAGCTGTCCGGCAGCAGCACACGGGAGCAAGTTCTGCGGCACTGCAGCACTGTCATCCCGCCAGCCCCGTCGGGGGCCTCTGGAGAGCGCCTTTCGGGCATCCGACGGCCATCGTGGTGCGAACCTCAGCTGCCTGCAACGACCTCTTCACCATTTGGAGACACGGCGGCCATGTTGGGAACTCTGGCCACTCGCATCGCAGCTCCCAAACCGGGACCAGCGGAGGGCGTGGGGCGCGGGGCGGGTAGTCGGCCCCACGCGGCCCCCAAGCCCGAAGCAGCCAGGTAGGGGAACGCGGCTGCCGGGGGGGGAGCGGCGCTGCGCGGGCGCTGGCGCGGCGGTCTTGTTCTCTCCCTGCTGCTTCAGGGATTCGGAGGGGATTGGCTGACACCCGTCAGCGCTGACCGCCGCCAAAAGATGCCTCCCATGTTGGGCCAAGGTAGATGGCGTCGGAGGACCGTGCCGCATCGCCTAAGCATCACCGATGCAACGGCGATGCATCGTTGATGCATCAGCGACGTCGGCGATGCATCGCCGATGTCTGCGTGGAGAAAATCAGGCCCCACATCGAACCGCATCGCCGATGCATCGACGATGCAGAGCGATCCCTCGACCCCAGATACTCGGACCCTATCTGGGAGGGTTAAAGCTAGGTTGGGCATGTCCTCCTGGCGGAACTTGGATGAAAAATGAAAAATAGCCAAGAAGATCAATAATCAACACGAATGAACTACCCAGACCATGTTTTTTCTATGTTTGAACCTCCCTCCTAGCCATCCCGCGCCCCGATCCCCTCTGGCGGGCTTTGCGCCCATCCCTGGGGCCTCGGGCGCACGCTCGGCAGGCTTCTGGGCCCCCCCCGGAGCGCCCTCGGCGACGGGCGCCGCCGACGGCGACCGACCGCGCAGCGCCGCCCTAGCCCTGGGGGGAAGCCAGAACAGGTACCGCTGCCGCTACTCCCTGAGATCCGACGCTCGCCAAAAAAAAATTAGAGCGGGCGGTGTTTGCCAGTTCTCGGCCTCTGGGGGCCCTCGCCGGGCCTCGGGAGCGTCAAAAAACGACGCAGGACGGAAAACCGGTCCCAGGGAAGTGGTCGAGACCTCTCCTGGGGTGCGTTCTGACCAGAATGCCGAGGCGAATCCAACGGTGGCGACGAGGACCTCTCAGGAGGCCCAACGAGGCGAAAGCGAGGCCAAGGGCAGCGGTACTGGGTACCTCTTCCTCCTCTGAGGCTCGGTCGGGGATCTTCTGACCCGGGTCAATCCAGACCCGGGTCAGCAGGAAACCAAAAACTGCAATGCAGGAAAAAAAACTGCAACGCAGATCTTCGCAAACCTGGGTCAGCCAATACGCGCGGCCGCCTCGCGGCCACGAGCGGCTCGCTAACCCGGGTCAGCCAGAGGGGGTCTTCGCAGGATCCTGCAGGATCTGGCGCCCTGGCTGACCCCCGTTTGCACTGACCCCCGTCTCAAGGCTCCCGACTCGGTCGGCGGAGGAGCCAGCCAGGGCGCCTGGGCCTCCTCGGGAAGCAGCGCGAAGCCGCACTCCGGGCCGAGGCGGCCCATGCACACGCTGGGCGTCCACAGCACCTCCGGAGGGGCGGGTCGGCGCAGCCCTCGCGGGATGCGGCGGGCGCGAGGGCGAGCCCAGCGATCGAGCGTCAAGGTCATCCTCTCCCCGCTCTCCGCTCTCCTCTCTTCTCCCTTTCCTTCCCCCTCCTCCTCCTCCTCCACCTCCTCCTCCTCCTCCTCCTCCTCCTCCTCCTCCTCCTCCTCCTCCTCCATTCCTTTCCCTTATAAATAACGCCTCCCTGTCGCACCCCGAGGCAAGTTCAGGACGGGTTGGGCGTTTCGCCTGAGACTTCCTCACCATTTATAAGTTCTGAAGCTTGAAAACTGGCAACAGTTTCACAGATGGAGGGCGGATGGTTTTCAGTATGTGGCTCTCGCCTTAGCGCCGCGCACATTTGCCTCAAATCAACGCAAGAGCTTCACGGATTGAGGGCGGGTCGTCCTCAAAATGTGGCGTTCGCCTTAGCGCCGCGCACATTCTTTTTCAAAACTTGCAAGAGCTTCACGGATAGAGGGCGGTTCCTTTTCAGAAGCGTGGCTCTCGACTGAGCGCCGCGCACATTCGTTTTAAACATTTGCAAGAGTTTCACGGATTGAGGGCGGCTCCCTTTCAAAAGCGTACCTCTCGCATTGCCGCCGCGCACATCCACTTTCAAAATTCGCAAACGTTTCACGGATTCCAGTGGTCAACTTACCAGTAATGGTGTTTGAGAAGGATTCAGGACTATGCGGGTGCAACAATTATTTTGATCCGCGGTGTTAAGGTCCCCCCAAAACGGCGTTCTGGCACGATTCCGGATCGCCAAGACGCAATAGTCAGGTTGATCCGTGGCGATGAAGTCCCGACAACCATGCTTTGGCATGCTTCAGGGTCTTCAAACGGTCGTCTTCCAACAAGGCCGTTACCTCAATAGAAATGAACCGTTGTAGGGGTCTATGAAGAGGCAGCTTGGAGAGAGGGTTAGTTCCAACATCGTTGATGACTCTTGGGTTTACACTGGTCCTCCTCCTCCTCCTCCTCCTCCTCCTCGTCCTCCTCTCTAATCCTGCTTCCTCCGTTCTCATTCATCATTCCTCCTCGTTCCTCCTTCCTCCTTTCCTCCTTCATCCTCCTACCTCCTTCCTCCTCCATATGTACCATCATGTATCATGAACCCTCCTTTCGCCGCCTCCTCTTGCTTCACCTGCTATGTGTTCCTTATTCACATCCTCCTCCTTTTCCTCATCCTCCTCCTGACTCCTGTCTCCGTTCTCAGCCACCACCTCCTCCTCCTCCATTTCCTCCTCTTGCTTGCTTGTCGCCAGGGGAAAGGGACGGGATGGGAAAGAGAGAGGAAGGGAAGGGGAAGGGAAAGGAGAGGGGAAGGGGGAGAGGAAGGGGGAAGGAGCTGTGGCGTCTGAGCTGAGATTGCCCCAGCACCAGCTAGCACAGCAAAAACAACTGAAAAACACGCAGGTCTGGGCTGACAGAAACAAGAGAGGGGGCGTGATCAACATCATCGTCGCCATCAGCATTGCCATGATGCAAATGTTTTGCCGAGTATCAGAGCCATGCAGACTCCCCGCGCGTTCCTCTCATTAGCGACTGGTTGTGTGGTTCGCCCCACTTTATCTTCCAATTCGTCTGATCTACTTGCCCATCGATTGCTGCCATCCTCAAAATAGCAACGAACGAATCTACATCGTGTACCACTGCTTCCTTTGTCTTTCGTCGGCGAACAAAGAGACCCCCGTAGAGCTAAGCTGAACGTCTCGGACTGCAATGAATGGGTCCAGGGCCAACGCATATAAGCGCCACGCACGCATCAACACCCCCCTCCTCCTCATCCTGCTCCTCCTCCTCCTCCTCCTCCTCCTCCTCCTCCTCCTCCTCCTCCTCCTCCCGGTCCTCCTCCTCCTCCTTTGCCTCCTCCTCCTTTGCCTCCTCCCCCTCCCCCCCTCCTCCTCCTCCTCCGCCTCCTTCTCGTCCGTCACCCATCATCCTCCACATCCTCCTGAAACCAACCCAAACCCACAGAAAACCGCCCGAAGAATCCCCCCAAAACCAGTCAACAATATCCAGAAAGTCCGTCTCCACCCACTGGGCCCAGGATCGGCGGGAGCGCTGTCCATGCTAGGTCAGGAAGGCGTGCGCGCGCATCTATCTTGGGTCCAGGACATGCCCGGCACTGGCCCAGCCAACACAAATGCAGGTTGTTAGTTGGTGTCCCCCGGTTCCCTCCTCCTCCTCCTCCTCCTCCTCCTCCTCCTCCTCCTCCTCAGCCTCCTCCTCCTCCTCCTCCCTTGCCCTCCTCCTCCTCCTCCTCCTCCTCCTCCTCCTCCTCCTCCTCTCCTCCAATTCCTCCTCCTCCTCGTCTTCCTCCTCCTCCTCCCCTCCTCCTCCGCCTCCTCCTCCTGTTCTCCCTCCCCTTCCCCCCCTTTCCTGCTCCTCCTCCTCCTCCTCCTCTTTCCTCCTCCTCCTCCGCCTCCTCCTCCTCCTCCTCCTCCTCTTGCTCCCCCTGCTCCTCCAATCTCCTCTTCCTCCTCGTCATCCTCCTCCTCCTCTTCCTCCTCCTCCTCCGCCTCCTCCTCCTGTTCTTCTCCCTCCCCTCCCCCCTTTCCTGCTCCTCCTCCTCCTCCTCCTCCTCTTCCTCCTCCTCCTCCGCCTCCGCCTCCTCCTCCTCCTCCTCCTCCTGCTCCTGCTCCTCCTGCTCCCCAATTCCTCCTCCTCCTCCTCCTCGTCATCCTCCTCCTCTTCCTCCTCCTCCGCCTCCTCTCCTCTCCCTCCCCTTCCCCCCCTTTCCTGCTCCTCCTCTTCCTCCTCCTCCTCCTCTTCCTCTTCCTCCTCCTCCTCCTCCTCTTCCTCCTCTTCCTCATCCTTTTCCTCCTCCTCCTCCCCCTCCTCCTCCTCGTTTCCCTTTCCCTTCCTTTGGGAACGGCCCCAACAAGAACCGCCCCAGCAAGTCCCACGAGTCCAGCCACGATGGGAATCCTCCGCGGGTGGCGCTACTGCCACGTCCGCCACCGCTCAGGGCTCCACGGCAGTCCCGCACGCCTCTGGCGGGGCAGGCCCGACGAGACGCGGGGGCGCTGGAGGAGCGCCCACTCCCAGCGCTCGATAAAACGCCTCGGGATCCTCGACCTCAGAGAGGACCGACCAGAGGCCCTCCACCCAACCCAGCTCCCGAGGCTCCCGCGGATGGGAAACAGGAAAGGGGCGAGGGAGGAGGGATCCCGAGGAAGGGTCTTTGAATTTGAGAGGGGTTGGGAGGCCCAACCACCAGCTTCGCCTTAGGCGAAGCCCAGCTCCCGCTCTGCTGTACCGTAGCAACGATATTCCCAGTGGTACGGGGCGAGCCATCTCAAGCCGTTATGGTACCGATGGCAAATGGTACACCTCGCGCTGAGGTGTAGTCAGACCTGGGCGGCTGGCCGCTTTGAGCCAAGCAACCGCGGATGCACGCTCGTTCCCACTCTCATGCAACACCCAGCTCACTTTAGTCGGCGGGGGGAGGGGGACGAAGCGTGAACCCGCCGCCTCTATACAGCAGGTACAGCGGCGACTATTTACAAAAGGGGCAGCAAAAAGGCGGGGCCGTAAGGAAGGTGGACCCGCACGGACGTTGCCTTGCCTGCACTTTACTGTGCATACGAGTACTCCGCAGGCGGCTACAGAACGAGATGTCTGGCCAGCCCGATAGGGAGTATGACGCTTCAAGTCATGTCTGAAGGATCGCGTGCATCCCATGACCTGAAGGAACATTTCTCTGTCGATGCCCCCCTTGGTGTGACCGTCCGCAGTCATATCGCGGGTGTCACCACACTGAATACTGTGCACGATTCCTCGCTCCATCATCTGTCGGAACCAGCTGATGTATCCTGAAAGGGCACGCTCAGTCGGCTTCCTCAAGTCTTCGCTTGACAAGGACTTACTAACAGACTCAGCATCTATGGTCAAAGTGACCTTGATGCTCAGGCCACCCAACTCAAATATGTCTTTCAACTGAGTGGGAGCTTACGGCCCTGCGTGGAGCTCGTGCAGAGTCACGGTCGCGGGATAACAGTCCTCCAAGTTGCGGGCTGCTGCTAGTGTCTCTGCTGAAAACCTCGGACGGACCTGCAAGCGGTGAGACTTGCAGCACGCATCGGTCAAGTGAACGACGGGCTTGCCGGATGGCGTGCTTCCACGCCGTAGCATGCTTGCCCCGCGAATACCATTGCCTTTGACTTCGACATCGGCACCTCCACTCAGGCGTCGGCAACCGGAGTCGCTGTGCAGGTCAACCTCGCCCGTGGGGGTCATCGCCTGGTAGGCGATCTTCTTAAGGCAGGCCTGCAGTTTCCTGGTAATCGCGCTCAGTCGTCGCACTTGTAGATCGGTCGGTTCTTGGACGCGTTGTAGAGAAGCAACATGCACCATCAACCACACCTGGGTGACTAATGCATACGACACTGCGCCTCGAAGGCTGACGAACATGTCTGCAACCATCTTGGATGCTTGGGCGTCAGCGTCGGCACCTGTAAGTTCAGAATGTTGTATCGGACGGAACTGCTCGATGCATTCGGCTTGGTCCAAAATAACACTGCCGTCCTCATCCTTGGCATATCTCACAGCACAAGTGGTGCATGTGCGCTTGTTGAGTTTACATTTACCGAAAGTGTCTTCTACGCACTTGACGCACTTGTCAATGGTGCCCTCTGTGCCGGCCATATTGATGTCATCAACATGTTTGGCCGTGAGCAGGTTCGCATGTTTGGCCGTGAGCAGTTTACTGCTCGTTTCGCAATCCTCGTCGTAGGACGTGGGTCTGAGACCAAAACCTCGAGTGGTTCTTCTGGGCTTCGATGAGAAAGCTCGAGGTGCGTCCTCGGTGTCAGTGCCTGGCTCCAGGCACTGCAAGCAGTGCTTCGACTCGTCGTAGTGTTCGAATCCTGGGAGAGTTCGAAGCGCCGTAGCCGATGCAGGCGGCAGAGTAAAACGCACCACGCGGTCCTTTTTCAGAAGTTGCCTCAGC